CAGGTCCACAATGGTCAGGTATTAGTAATGACCTTACTAATTTTAAATAGCACACAACGTTGGTGGTCAGGCTCAGATGTCAAGTGACCCGGCCTTCACCTGGATCACAAATCTTTCTTAATTACAAAATTGGTTCAGCTTGTACATGCCGTTACTCAAATTCATGTTGGATGCTTCTGCATGTTTAATAAGAATCTAGTTTATATATATATATATATATATATATATATATATATATATATATATATATATATATATATATATATATATATATATATATATATATATATATATATATATATATATATATATATATATATATATATATGTTGTACCTCAATTTACGCGTCAATTGAACCCAGAGGGTCCTGCTATGAAATCCGCTAAGTGAACAACAGAACATATGGGATTAATTCCAATGAAACCGGCCTGACCCCCAAACTCCACCTTTTTGAAGGCACATACCTATGGTAGTAGAAAATAACATCTTAATTTTATGATGGTACATGCACACAATTAATACTTTAAGAGAAATAGAGAAATACAGTCGCTAAGTTAATGTCCATTCAATGGACTCAATCCTCCCTCTCTCTCTCACACTACACTCACTGGCTCTTCCCTCTCGAGAAATTTTTGGGGGAAAAACTACTAAATTTTAATAAATAATACCTCAAACTAAAGTTAGATAATACAATTGACATTGCTGGATTTTGTAAGACCAGGAATATTTTGAATATAAATGTCATATATTTTGCACAAAAGATAACATAGTTACCTAGAGAAAAATTTTTTATCTAAAATTTGTATGTTTAATGAAAAATATATGATGTTTATATGCAAAATGATCACCAAAATATAAGAATTCCAGCAATGGAAATTATATTCTGACCGGTAATTTGTATGAATTTTATGAGCTAAAGCAAATATCTTCAGTTAATAAAAAAAAAATAATCTTCATCAACACTATCTGCTCTTCCAACTCATGTATCAGTCCCAACCCTACCCCACCAATCCTCCTTCCAGGGTTTTTAACATTTAGTATTAAATAATACCTCAGATTAAAGTTAGATAATATAATTGACATTGCTGGATTCCTTGGTAAGACCAGGAATATTTTGAATATAAATGTCATATATTTTACAAAAGATAACATAGTTAATTTGAAAAATTTTTATCTAAAATTGTATGTCTAATGCAAAAATATGATGTTTATATTCAAAATGATCATCAAATTATAAGAATTTCAGCAATGTAAATTATATTCAGGACCGGATAATTTGTATGAATTTATGAGCTAAAACAAATATCTTCAGTTAATAAAAAAAATAATTCTTCACAGGGTAACAGATGGTCGGTCGGTCCCTCCTCCCCACCCCACCAACCATCCCAAGGAGATGTGTGGATAACCACTAAATTTTAATAAATAATAACTCAAACTAAAGTTAGATAATATAATTGACATTACTGGATTCCTTGTAAGACCAGGAATATTTGAATATAAATGTCATATATTTTGCAAAAGATAACATAGTTAATTTGAGAAAAATTTTTTATCTAAAATTTGTATGTCTAATGCAAAAATATGATGTTTATATTCAAAATGATCATCAAATTATAAGAATTCCAGCAATGTAAATTATATTCAGACCGGATAATTTGTATGAATTTTATGAGCTAAACAAATATCTTCAGTTAATAAAAAAAATTCTTCACTGGGTAACAGATGGTCGGCTTGTCCTCCCTCCCCCACCCCCCACCAACCGTCCCAAGGAGATGTGGATAACCACTAAATTTTAATAAATAATACCTCAAACTAAAGTTAGATAATATAATTGACATTGCTGGATTCTCAAGATTAGGAATATTTTGAATATAATGTCATATATTGCACAAAAGATAACATAGTTAATTTGAGAAAAATTATCTAAAATTTGTATGTCTAATGCAAAAATATGATGTTTATATTCAAAATGATCACCAAATTATAAGAATTCCAGCAATGTAAATTATATTCTGGCCGTAATATGAATTTTATGTGACAAACAGGCAGTCAGGCAGGGTGGGCAAATCTATAATAGCGCCTGAGCCGGACATTCACCAGTATGTGGGAAAAAATCCGTGTTAAGTGAAAGTCTGGCAGGCACCATATAAAAAACGCGTTATGAAACTGGTGGGGGTAAACTGTATATATATATATATATATATATATATATATATATATATATATATATATATATATATATATATATATATATATATATATATATATATATATATATATATATATACAGTATATATATATATATATATATATATATATATATATATATATATATATATATATATATATATATATATATATATATATATATACAATATATATATATATATATATACAGTGAACCTCACTTTCTGCCGGTCCCAGGTGAACCCACGGCGGCCTCGGCAAAGTGAACAACACTGCTATATGGGATTAATTGAAATAAGAGAGACTGGGCCGACCCCCCAAACTCCACTTTTTCCGGGCACAATACCTCACGTTGTAGTAAAAATAACTTCTTAATTTTATGATGGTATGCACACACAATTAATAATTAAGAGAAATATCAATAATATTAGGTTTTTTAACACTTACATTAGTAGAAAAGATGGCTGGGCACACGGGGATGGGGGCTTGGTTCCAAGGCAGAGGGCAGATTATTGGCCCTCATCTGTATCACTTGTATCATTTGTATCACTATCCACCACAGAGGCTTGCAGGGCCTCTTTGTCAAACCCCTTAAAGTCCATATAAGTCCATATCCTCACTATAATTATCACTATCACTGACTTGGGCCGGCTGTGGTGGGTGGTGGGTGAAGAACTCTGTAATGTTTTGATGACCGGGCGACCTTGTGCGCACCCTGCTCGCGCCGCTCTCCGCGTAAAAGGGTACACACACCGCGGAAAGTGAGCATTCCGGTTTCGACAGGGTACCGCGTAAACGTGGAAACGTGTAAAGTGGGACCGCGTAAAGCGAGGGTTGACTGTATATATATATATATATATATATATATATATATATATGCAAGTAAATCACTGTAGGTGCGCGTGATCTAGGTTTTCTTTGTGTTTTCTTCTTTCCTTGTGGTTATCAGCATATATATATATATATATATATATATATATATATAGCCTATATATATATATTAGTTCTTGAGTTGATAAGTGGCAGGGCTGAAGTAAACACTTTGTTGCTTTTGCTTTATTGTAGAAAAATATAGTTTCACAGGTACTGAGTTGAGTTGAGAGTATAATGTACCTTCTCTGCTCAGGGAAATATCTTAGTGCACTTGTGTAGGAGAGCACTTAAGTGAGTTGTTCACTGGGTAACATGTGATATGATAGTCTCTCTCTCACACCCGGGAGAGAGGGTGGTCAAGCAGGTCTTATAGGAAACGCGTCAGATATTTGTTGCTGAGCTGCACTGACCCAGCTTGACCTCGCCTGCTCCCCGGAGGAAATGTCAACTCACCGATTGATTCATACTCATGGGTGATTGATCTGGTGAATATATGGGTATTATACATTTGGGTAATATTTATATAATACAAATGGTGCTGTTGCAAGTGTAAATACTTGTAAATAGACATCTTTTGTTACAAATATCCATAATCTTGTATATTTCACTATCACTTATTATTTTTCCAAGCTCGGCCTATATATTATGACATGCTTTTTTGTGGTACTGTATATGCAACTGCATTGTGAGCAACCATATCATCAATGTCTCATAAATTGAAAAATATTTCACTATTTCATCATAAATATTTCAATACACATCACTTTATCACTTCATGAGAATAAATATTGAGGTTGTAAGAGATAAATATCTTGAGATAGTAGCACAAATGCCACGGTGGGCATTTTTAAATCCTACCTGGGAGCGAGACACTCACTGCTTACTGAGGCAGAAGCATTACTGGCATTTGTTATCTGTTACTGCATGGTCCACCACACATAGAGGGGTTGCCATCTAGCCTTAAGACTTGGATCCATGCAAGAGAGTGGCTTGACAAAAGTGGCGTTAAAATTTGAAGTAATATGGCGAGAAACTTTTAGAGAAAATGAAAATAAATACCATATTGGCACATCTGATCATTAGGCAAAAGTTTCATTTACATTAAATCAAAACACTACTTAAGAGTGTATGATCCAGAGAGTGTTGACATCCAGGTCCCCAATTACTGCTGGGTAGACAGGCAAATGGCATAAAGAAACTTGCCCATAGTTTCACCTTGCCCTGGGATCAAACCTGGATCCACTTGCTTGTGAGGCAAGCACAGTGTCATTTAACATAAGCTTTCAATACAAAAAGTGGATGAAACATGTGGTGAACATACAAATTAACTAGAGACTGATACTTTTCATTTTGGTTGGAGAGGGGCAGGAATTATCCTTGTTGCAGCTGTGGTGTTGTACAACTCGACAATCATGGGGTGTTTTTTACCTTCCCGTTGCAGCTGTGGTGTTAAACAGCTGGACGATCACAGGATATTGTTGCCATCCCTGTTGCAGCTGTGGTGTTGTACAGCTGGATGATCACAGGGTATTGGTGACATCCCCGTTGCAGCTGTGGTGTTATACAGCTGGACGATCACAGGGTATTGATGACATCCCTGTTGCAGCTGTGGTGTTGTACAGCTGGACGATCACAGGGTATTGATGACATCCCTGTTGCAGCTGTGGTGTTGTACAGCTGGATGATCACAGGGTATTGGTGACATCCCTGTTGCAGCTGTGGTGTTGTACAGCTGGATGATCACAGGGTATTGGTGACATCCCTGTTGCAGCTGTGGTGTTGTACAGCTGGATGATCACAGGGTATTGGTGACATCCCTGTTGCAGCTGTGGTGTTGTACAGCTGGATGATCACAGGGTATTGTCCGAGCTTTCATGTTACTGTCGGTGTATAAGCTGACACACTGAAAAAATTTCCATTCTTATGTATGTATTTTTTTTCAGCTGAATCTTCCTGATGAGATGCCTGCTTTGTTCAGTGCAGGGTACAGTCCTATCACAGCTGCTGGAACAGCACCACAAATACAGCATGTGGCACGACTTATAGCAGCTCAGCTGACAGCTGGTGGTGTTGGACCAGGGGTGGAGCAGACTAAGGATGATGAGGTATTACCAAAGACAGTCCTGTATATTAATTGTTAACATTTTTTATTTTTCAGGAATCACCAGAAATAGGAAGCTTTATGAAATAATCAGATTTCAGTGAACTTGATGTTCTTAATCAAAACACATGTTAAATTACTAGTGTGTGTGTTGGACATAGGCCTGTATGAAAGGTTTGATCATTATTATATGAACCTGAAATTAAAAAGACTGTTTGACTTGTTATATTAATTGATGTGTTTAGAAAGAACGATTGATATGATTTTCATTAACAGGTAGTTTCTGAAAATGCATTGAACTTATGAACAAGAACTCTTTAAAATTAAGACTAATATTTTTTTACAGGAACTACAGGCCTTTGTAGAAACTCCTTTAAGTAATATTTTCACCTTTGCAGGTTATTACTGGATATGACAGTGATGATGAGAGTAAAATATCAAGATTAGTGGGTGGCCAAGTGCAGGTGCAAGAAGATGCCATCCAGGTAATTATTTCTGTTCGTTTTGGCTTACTTTTTTTTCAGCGTACATATACAGGAATAAATATTTGGACAGATTGCACAGTACAGTATTACAAAAGAGGATTTATAGAAATGGCCTTTAAAACTCAATCCATTTTGTTTATGCAGTATTCTTTCCATTTTTTATACTTGGCACCATTGAGGAGCAACCTGTGAATATTCCCACCCAAGCTTATGGGAGTTCCCCAGTAAACTAGAAGAAACTATTGCTCTTAACGAGAGATTAGAGCTCACAGTTTGTCCTAAGACATGAGAGTGTGGTGAGTGTTTATGTTGTGCTGCTTTTTCTTGCTACTGTGCATACTGCACCTCAATTGACACTGTCTTGACCCTTTTGACATGTATTTGGAGTCTACCATTAGTACTCTGAAATTGTCATTTGAGCACTAAAATTGGCCCATTTTTGGCATTCATTTGGCCTATTTTTCATATTTATATTACTGAAATGTATTCCACACCAGAAGACAAACACATACTTGTTCTTTAAGTTCTAATGTACAGTAATGCTCATAACTTCCCTATAATATGATGAAAATCTGAAGCTTTGTTTACAAGTGGCGGGCAGTGTCACTCCTGTTGTTAGGCAACTCTCGCTCCTGCCACGAAGGTGCAGCACATCCATTTCCTGGTGGTCGTTTCAAACTTTGGTGATGTATGTCTAACGTTGCATGGAAAAAAAAATTGAGAGCTCTCAGCTGTGGGAGAAAGTCGAAAACATTCTGTGACATTAAAAATTTATTTGACTTGTCGAACATAGCGTCTAAAAGGTTAAACCAGATTGATAGTCTCAACCCTCTCATTCCAGCTGCCAGTCACATTCAGGGAAGGTTTCTTTTTTCAATTTCTCTTCTAGTTTAGAAGTAAGCTAAGTTCAGTAGTATCGGTATTTTGCAAGAATGTGGACCAAGGCTATTGTGGAAAAGTTAATTTTTCAGAATTGTGTGAGTAATACCCCCATCTTCCATGACCACTGATAATTCTACAACTGTATGAGTGTGTGGTGTGATGTAGTACAAGAAGTTCTTGTTTAACTAGTAACCAATTAAGAAGAATATGGCTGAACATCTCTATGTTTTAGGGTCTGAAAATTCCATAAATGAGGTCTTATTTAATTTAATGAGCAAAATTTTGAATAAAAAACTGCTTACATTCCTGTCTGGGTCCAGGTATTTGTATTTATATATTTATTTTTGACTGTACTCTTGTTATTTTTATTATTTAATCACTTAATAAAGAAAATATTGAAATAATTTTTCTTCTGTAGAGCACCATCTATTAACCTCTTCCCCCAATCTCTTACTACTATCTGAACTTCAACTGACCAAAACAACTTCACCCAAACCTTTTCAAGTCTCTAACTACAACCTTTATACCTCCTTCCATTCTAAGGGAGGTGTATGCGCCTACTATGACTATTGGTCTTTGTTTCCTATCCTGTTCTCCCAACCCCACCAACTATATATGGAACTCTTTGACTATCTCACTTCTTGCCATGAGTCGTTACTATCCACACACCCTAACACCGAGATCCTCTACCTAGGGGGATTTCAATGTACAGTAGCTAAAACAACTATCTGTGCAGGTGAGGGTCGATATACTCCAAAACTTTACGTGTGACTAGTGACAGCCCTTATATACCAAAATTTATCGTCCGTCTTCTCATATTGTTTCCCACACAGTATGCACAGGTATTTGTTTTAGCTACTGTACATCACAGAGTGTGGCTTGGCTGTTCAAGGTGGGGTTTAGGCACCCTCTTTTTCCTTTCTTAATGATCTGGAACAAATAATTAAACACCCTACATGTGTTCCAGATCGATACGATCAACTTACTAACATTCTTGATCTTTGTTTTACCTCTAACCCCTCATGATATTCATTTGCAATTTCTGCCCCCTTAGGGTCTTCTGGTCATAAATCTTATTTCTATTACCATATTTGCCGGCATATATGATGCAGGGTTTTTTTATTTTTTATTTATTTATTTATTTATTTTGTATTTATTTTTATTTTTTTATTTTTTATGTATCACAAATTACCCTGCGTCTAATGCTCCTATATTATGGATGGGTCTTATGGGAGGCCGAGCGCCATAGGCGGAGGTGCCTAGCTAGGGAGTCTGGGACGAGCAGTAGTCCACTAAGCACAAAAATTGTGTTACTAATTATAAAATACTGAAAAACAAGCCAAATAGTCACAATCTATTATCACAAACTTACGTCAATTTTGCCGAAGACGTAAATAATGTTCTACATTGGCTTAACGGCAGAGGGAAGCTCACAACATCTCACTGTAACTCCTTCCCCAGCATACATAACCCACACCAGATACAAGTCTTACATTATTCAATGACTGTTTTACCTTTAAGAAACATTTATTTATTATCTAAATGAAAAATGCCCCTAGAAAGATTAAAGAAATGTCAACAGAAAGTTCAGCTGCCAGTCAGCCATTTGCAGTGAGTCGATGACGCCAAAACAATAGCGATGGTGCTACACCCTGGTGGCAGATCGCGGCAACACAAAACATTACAGCCAAAAATACGAGTCTCACATCCCGTCAGTAATTCTCTTGACCAAAATATAAACAAGCCACACAGCTGCTCTGATCAGAGGTACAGTTGAGTTAGCATAATGTTACTATATATGATTTCCTACTTGATTCCGGTATAATTGTATTTACATGCACAAATTAATGTTTTCTTCTTCAAAACCACTTTAAAATCACTTTCAATAATTGTATGACATATCATACTAAAAAAAAAAATTCCACAAAATTTCCTTGTAAAATAGGGGTGTGTCTTATATGCCGGCAAATACGGTAAATTAAATTGAGCACGAACCACCTCCCCCACCCCCCTCTAAACGCCAACTATGGCATTATCGGAGGCAAACTGGTAATCCTTGCAAGAATTCTCCTCCAATTTTCCTTGGGATGAATGTTGCTTTTCCACTCAGGACACGTCGGTATGTGCTGACAGCATTGCTGGGTATTTTTTTTATTTATGATTATTTTTTTATTTTTTTTATTTACTTTGTTTTTTACGGGGATTAGTCCACCTGGGCACAGGTCACTGACCCACATCGGGGCCTGGGGGACGAAAATGTAATTATAATAATATTAATTCAGATAAGTAATATTTAAAAAAACAAATTCAAAAATAAAAATAATAAAATAATAATGATAACATAATAATAATAACAACACTGCAGTAATAATAATAAGGAACCATAAAGAAATAAAATAAAAAAGATCAAGAGTGAGAAACAATATATGTAAGTTGTGTTGTCAATAGTAAGAGAAACAATTGAGACCCTGCAACTGTGTGTAAATGAGGCAGAAAGTCAGATCAGCAACCTGGGACTTGGTCACAATTTTCGTGATGCCTTATGGCAGCAGGGTCTACCATTAGACAACACATTATGTTTCCAATATCCTCCCAGGCGGTGGTACCTCCCTGTCTGCCTACTACCTATTTATCCCATTTACCAAAACTTTCACTTTACAATCACGGCTTGATCGCTCCTGTTCTCTTACATGTAGGGAGAGAGATAGAGTTATGAAACTGTCTCCTTCTCCTGTTACTCACTCCTCTTTCATTACTTCTAGGAATTGTTGTAAGGTTATTCTTCGTAGGGCCAAGCGGAACTTTATAAAAAAAAGGACCACTGATCTGACTAACTCTTCTTCTAGTAAATCCTTCTGGTCCTTAACCAAAAACATCTGTAACAACTTCTGCACTCCTTCTTTTCCTCCTCTCTTCCGACCTGATACTCTATAGCTAACTCTCCCCCTGACAAAGCCAACCTCTTTGGCACCTTATTCTCCTTTGACGATTCCAACTCTATCCCTCCTACCCTGGCACCTCCTACTGATCCTATGCACTTTCCTATAATCTCCACCCACAGGGTTGCCGGTGTGTTATCCAGTTTGGATGTAAATAAGGCGCATGGACCAGATGGAATACCCCCACGTATTCTGAGAGAGTGTGCTAAAATTCTGACTCCATTGCCTCAAAACCCAAACTTTTCCTTCTTGGAAGCATGCCATGGTTCAGCCCATCTCGAAGAAGGGTGACCATTCTATTCCCTCAAACTATCGCCCCATTGCCCTAATTTCATCCCTCTAAGATTTTGGAAACTATCTTAAACTCTCGTTTTCTCCGTCACCTTGAACGCCTTTCTCTTTAGTCGGATCACCAGTATGGCTTTCGGCAGGTGAGATCTACTGGTGATCTGCTCTCCTACTGCACCCATCTTTGGTCATCCTCTCTTAGGGATTATGGGGAAACTATCGCCATGGCCCTCGACATCTCCAAAGCCTTTGACAGGGTATGGCACAAGTCTTTGCTTTCTAAACTTCTCTCTTATAGTTTCTCTCCCCCACTTTGTTCTCTAATCTCTAGCTTCCTTGAGAACCGATCCATGGCAGTTGTTGTCGAGGGATCGATCTCTCGCTCTTTCTCTACCAGTAGTGGTATCCCACAGGATTCTGTTCTTTCACCTACTCTCTTCCTTCTTTTTATCAATGATTTACTTAACACTATGACTAATTCTATCCATTCTTACGCTGATGATTCTACTCTTCACTCTTCTTCACATTTTTCCCTTCGCCCTAATTCTCAAACTAGATCTGTTTCTAGAGCTGATATCGTAACATCTACCAATGTGGATTTGTACAACATATCTGAATGGGGAGGTAAAACTCGGTTAATTCAATAGTAATGATACTCGCTGTTTACCATTTACACTTTCCAAATTAGAACATCTCCAACCAATCACATTTCAGGGTGCAATCATTCTGCCAAACTCTTAAAATAGATATGCTAGGCCTCACCATTTCCTCCAATGTCATGGAAGCCACACATCCACAATACAGTATTGCTAAAGCTGCCTCCCAAAAGCTGGGAATGCTGTACAGATGCAGTAGCTACTTCACTCCTGAGCAGTTGTTTCAAGTTTATAA